GGTCAGCCACACCCAGTGAGTAGTGTCAAGCTGGCCACGCCCACCAGTTGGCCACGCCCACCCAGTTGGCCACACCCACCCAATCAGCCACGCCCAGTGAGTAGTGTCAAGCTGGCCATGCCCACCCAGTTGGCCACATCCACCCAGTCACCATGCCCAATGAGTGGTGTCAAGCTGGCCATGCCCATCGGGTCCACCACACCCACCCAGTTGGCCACACCCGCCCAGCCTCCCAGGTCAACCACAGCCCTGGTGCGTCTCTCAATGAAATTGAGTTGGACCCCCCTGGCTGACTTGGCCCCACTCACCTCTAGGAAGTAGGAGCCTGCAGCCCCATGCAAGGAGGGGGAATTGGGCGTGTAGGGGTCAGCATACATGGGGGAAGACGACAGAGAGATATTTTCCAGGGTTTGGGGAGCAGGACAGGTCTGACTTCTCGGCACGTTCCACCGTTTCAGCTGCAGAAGGGACAAAAAAAATAAGGTCCATTGGATGAGAAATCCAGCTGCGAAGGCCACTTGCAGGACCATTCCAGATGTTCCTCAACCCCAGGCCCATTAAGCAGGGCTTCCCAAATCCTGCGATGATCCTCCACTGCTCGTACATTGTTTAAGTCCAGGTGCAGCGGGCGGACCGCAGGATGTTCCTCTTGCACCGCCGCCGAGTACGGCTCGTTGTACACAGGGGAGACGCCTTCTCCACGCGGGTGCTTCGAGGTGAGCGGGACAGAGCTTTTCTTCTCGGGGTCCTCCCGGTGGCTCTGGGGCTGCTGAGGTGGCGGGACACCCTTCCCTTTGGACTTTCGGGAACTCCCCTTCCTTTTCAGCCCCTCGGCTTTCGGCATCCCCGTCCCTCGCTTTCCCGAGCACTGCAACAAGAGGAGGGACACAATTTAAGTATTCTGACTTAGGCTTCACCAAACCACGAAGCAGACTCCTTGTCCCGACAAAACCCCTTTCTATGAAGCTGATGCGAATTCCTCTCATTCACATCCAGCCAAGTCCCGGCAAACAGTCTTTCAAGGGTGGATTTACAACCACAGACCTAATCAGGCTTGGAGAGCTGCCAGGCCGATATCTTCCAAACGCCACGCTGTAGCAGCAATTACTTGACAGGAAATCAGGAACGGATCTTCCCCCGAATGAATTGAACTAATTGTCTCCCGCAAACTCCACTCCCCTTTCGCTCCGCTTTTGTTTCCTCTGGGAGGGGCCATTCACTGAACACCTGTGGCCTCACTCCCAAGTCGACCCTTGTTCCTTAGCTGTTCCCTTTGTCTAGCAGCTCTGTGCATGCAAACACTGGGAACAGTCTCCAGCTGTTCTTCTGCCTCACCAAATTCCTCTCCTTAATCTCTGTCTATGTCTATTTCTTGGATGTCCAATCTAAGTATTCCTCCCACCTCTACCCTCTTCCATTGCCTGATTTTTTAAAAATTAAGTTGCCCTCAAAATTGTTGAAGAGGAATGCTTGATAGTGGATGGACTCTACGGGGAAGACAAGCGTCAACCAAGGAATGAAACCTTGAATGCAAAGCAACTTGACTTTCCCCCCCCCTTCCCACAGACCCCACGGCATTGAAGCCGCCCATCAAGCCCACCACCCAATTTTCGAATCCCCACGACTTACGCAAACTGGTTGTGGCAGAGAGCTTTCAGCTAACCGATTGTCCGGCATCGCATCGACCGATTGTCTCTCGGAGAAAGAAGCTGTACTGGTTTGGGAGTGGTGGGTGGACGTAGCCCCCTTCCCAGCAGAAGCCCAGGAATTCGTTCTGCCCTCCGAGGTGAGTGACCCTCTTCCGCTTCCTGAAAACTAAACCAAGCAAGAAATTAAAATAGGAGGAGGATGCGGGGGGGGGGGGAGGCAACAGACGATCAAAGACCCTTGAATGATTGGCACGGGGAAAGAATGCAATCATAGCCTTCAAAGAATGAGGAAGAAGAGCCAGACGTTAAGGGCAGGGGTGAAATCCAGCAGGTTCTGACAGGTTCTGGAGAACCGGTAGCGGAAATTTTGAGTAGTTCGGAGAACTGGCAAATGC